TAAAAATTGAATTTATTATTGGGAAAGTAAAATTATATTGGAAGTTCTATATTTATATTGAGATTGAATGGTGTTATATCTGTGAGGAAAAGATTGGTGAAAAGGATTACATCTTTTCCATCTATGAGATTTTTTTCTCCATATTAATTAAGTTGTAGTTGTTTTAAAATGTCATTACTATTAATTAAATATTATAATAAAGGATATTTTAAATTTTATTGTCATTTGAGAAAATTCATAATTTATAAAATTTGTAACATAAAATTTTATTATTCAAATTTTTTTGTATCATGTCCATCTAAACAAGTATAAGGAAGGAGATAATTGATAAAAGAAATACAAAATTTAAATTTTGAATCCTTATTTTATTCAAATAATTATTTTTGAATATATATTGCTGATTTTTTTAACTAAAACAATTGATTAATTTATTATTAGACTTTTATATGTCTTGGTCAATCATAGGTTTTAATTAAATAGATTAATAAATTAATCCGGTAACCGATAGATGTTCAACCCTAAGTATGATCAGAATAAAAATTATAAAATCTGCCTTCTAAAATATAAATATTTATATATTAATTTGTGCTGTAAAGTAATGTAAAAAAAAGTAACGTAGTTACTAACGTTGTAACCTTGATTTTATTCATAAAAATATCTATTTCAGAGGTGATTATAAGCAGTGAATATTATATATTTCAAATCTTACAATTATTATTTTGCTTATCAAATTTTTTTTAAATTTACAGATAAGAAATTATTATAATATATATAAATGATATATAAAAAAATAAGTTATATTATTCAAATGAAACAATATGTTCTCCAAGATAAAATTAGGTAAGTCTCTTCTCTCTTTTAAAAAATCACATAAATTTTTCAAAATATTTTGTTTTGTTTGGTATCTACGATTTTTTTTGGGAGTGTATGTCTGAATCCTCCATTGGCCGATTTGTCCAGGTCGACTGTTATTTCCATCATCATCTTTTCAAAATATTTTGTTTTGTATGTTATCTACGATTTTTTAGGAGTGTATGCCTGATTCCTCCATTGGCCGATTTGTCCATGTCGACGGCTATTTCCATCATCATCTTTTCAATTAGTTCCTATATCTTAGATTTTTTGTGGAAAATTTATCATGTTTTCTTTCTTTTCCTGGAAATTATTTTCCTCTTACGATTATTTTTATTCATAATAAAATAGTGGCGCCACTATGGGTAGGGTGAAGAGTATGTTTACAGAATAATTTTTTTTTTAAGTTAAAGAATAAAAAAAACATTTTTTTTTCTATATACAAACAGGCAACGCTTCATTCCCTTAGTTGTGATGATTTAATGAAACATGTTTTCTTATCCATATAAAATTATTTTCTTTGCAAAAATAATTAAAATAAAACACTTGGAGACAATTATTTTTTTTTATGTACGATTTCATATTTTAAGAAAAGAAAAATAAAGAAATAAAATTATCGATTTTCGTGTTTCAAGAGAAAAAAAAAATTGAAGTAAGTAAAAAAAACAGATACATTAAAACGTAGTTGTTTGTTGTTGTGATACCTGAGTGTTGTTTTGATAGTTAAGTAACTATATATAAACTAATAATTATATAAGATGATTTAACATAGTCTGGAAGAGAAAAAAAAGTTAAATCAAACAAACAGCCAAAATCATCGCAATTTGAACAAATATTTGAATGCTTAGTTAGAAAATGGAATTAATGTAGAAAAAAATAATAAAGCCTACTAATTTATAATTAAATTTAAATGTATAATAAAATTTGAAAGATTAGTAAATGAGATTTATTTTTTCTTAGTTTACCCAAGAGTAGAACTAAGCAAATTCAATTTAATTAAATCATAACTAAACCCGATTAAAAGATTTTTTATCCCGAAGCTGACTTGCTTGCAGGGCTATGCTATTTAAAAATTATAAACAACTCCGGGTCTGGACCCCATATTTGAACCTCGGGTTTGTGCTCATAGCAGGCTTGAGCACAAACTTGGTTCGTAAATTTTACGCCCAAGCAAATTAACAACACTTGTGCCAATCATTTTTAAATTTTAGACGCAACACGGCTCGAATTTTCTACAAGAGCTTGGAGGGGAAAAGTTACTTCAAAATATATTTTTTTATCTGCCTGATTGATTAAATTTGAGGAGGCATCTTATAATATTCGTTTTTCTCTCCCTTTTCTCATTATATACTATGTGTCCGCTTTAGACTTCAAATATTCTTAAAAATATTTAAAAAATAAAAACATTTAATTGTACTATAAAATTATTTATTTTTTATTACTGTTGACATTGAAATAACGATGTACACTCTAAAATTATTTTAAAAATTACATTTTCTAAGTGTAAGCTATTATGGAATAAAATGGGGGCAATCTTCAAACTCTGCAGCCATTTTTAAGGGAAGCATGGGAAAGAAAGAAATTAATAGATAGTCATATTAAGGATAATTGCATATGACGACTCTTATGACATATCTGAATTACAAAGATTTTCAGATAAAGACAAGTCGTTCAATGCGCGTTTCTTTTTAAGGTAACCGTAACGGGTTCCTTTTTTCAGATGTAACGAGTAACTGTAACGCGTTTTTTTTGTAGTAACGTTTACAGCACTAGAAGTAATTAAAAAATTTTACTATGATATACTGGATTTTGTTAACTTTTCAATTTTTAACTATCCACTTAAAGATCTTCATAAATATATACACATTCCACTAACAATGTAAAATTTATTTTTGGGTTCAGAAATTTCAGATTAATCTTTTATACCTAACAATTAACATAAGCCAGATAGTCTACATTCTGTTATTAACAATAATCATTTATATTAATTAATTATTATTGTTAATATGACCGATTAATACTAACCTTTAAATTGTTTTTTTTATGTTGATATAAATTGATTTTTTTATAAATGTGTAGATTGATTTTTATTATATAAATTTTTATATATTAATATGAAAATTATTATATAAACCTGATTTTTTTTAGTTTGATAAAAAAAATGTAAAATTTTAAAATATATTATATAAAATTAAATTAATAATTTAAAATAAAATAAACAATCTTTATATTAGAAAACTTTATGGTTACATTTTTTTATTTAGAAAACTCCTATCATTACATCATTTATCCTAAAAACTTTATGGTGGCAGAACTTTATTAATTATAAATTAACCAATTATTTTAGCGATAAATACATTCTTCCTATATTTTATTTTATATTAGTTTATATATATTTAAGGTTTTTAACAGAGTTGTACAAATCTTCTTTGAAGATTTTTGAGCGAGATCTAGCTCAAAAATTTGACTAAGATCTTTGAAGATCGTAAAATTTGAAGATCTTTTATTTATAAAAAAATTTGAGCAACGATCCTAAAAGATCTAGATCTTTGAAGATCGTAAAATTTGAAGATCTTTTATTTTTTAAAAATTTTGTGTAACGATCTTCATGATATTTATTTTTTTACCCCTTTATTAAAAGCCCAGATGTTTTTCAATTTTCATCAAGGCAGGAGGAGAGTTATAAAACATAAAAGAAATATTATATTAATAAAATTGAAAAACATCTGGGCTTTTAATAAAGGGGTAAAAAAATAAATACCATGAAGATCTTTGAAGATCGTTACACAAAATTTTTAAAAAATAAAAGATCTTCAAACTTTACGATCTTCAAAGATCTAGATCTTATAAGATCGTTGCTCAAATTTTTTTATAAATAAAAGATCTTCAAATTTTACGATCTAGATCTTTGAAGATCTTTTTATTTTGAGAAAATGTACAACTCTGGTTTTTAATAATACTTTATTTATATATTTAAATATTACTTTTTAAATATTTTATAATATATTGCATAAATTATCATATAACGATTTTAATTATTTATATTTAAATATTTCTTTATATATAATTTAATATTACCTTATATATATTTAAATATTACTTTATATATATATTTAAATATTACTTTATATATAATTTAATATTACCTTATATTTATATTTAAATATTACTTTATATATATATTTAAATATTTTAGATATATTTAAATATTTTATAATATATTGCATAAATTATCATATAAATATTTTAATTATTTATATTTAAATATTTCTTTATATATAATTTAATATTACCTTATATATATATTTAAATATTACTTTATATATATATTTAAATATTACTTTAGATATATATAATTATTTATTAAATATTACTTTATATATAATTTAATATTTTAATTATTTATTAAATATTACTTTAGATATATATAATTATTTATTAAATATTACTTTATATATAATTTAATATTTTAATTATTTATTAAATATTACTTTATATATAATTTAATATTACCTTATATATATATTTAAATATTACTTTAGATATATTTAAATATTTTATATTTAATTAAATATTCATAAATATATATTGCATAAATTATAATATAAATATTTTAAAATTTAAATTTAAATGTTAAATGTGTCTTGTTTGTATTCACCATCTTTCTTTCATTTGACTCCAAACAGCTGTGGGAATATTTCAGCCCCGAACCGTTCAATCTAATTTCGGTATCGTCCCTCGTATTTTTTTTTATTAGGTGTTTTGTCGTTTTGCTAAAACTAGATTCCCAAAATATTCAACCCCACATCAGTAAGTTAATTTAATATTTTAAATATATTATTATTTAATTTAATATTTTAAATATATTTATAGTTAATTTAATATATATTTTTAATATAATGTAAGTTATTTTAATATTGATTCCCAAAATTTTTTCAATTGATTCCCAAAATTTTTCCAATTGAATACTCAAATTTCCAGTAAGTTAATTTAATATTTTATAATATTATTAGTTAATTTAATATTTTAAATATATTTATAGTTAATTTAATATTTTAAATATATTTATAGTTAATTTAATATTTTAAATATATTTATAGTTAATTTAATATATATTTTTAATATATTGTTAGTTAATTGAAGTAACTATGAATATTCAAGAGGTTAGAGACACAACAAATATCAAAGCTTATAAATTTAGAAATTAAAGTATATATTATTTAATTTACATATATTAATTTATATTTTTAAGAAAACTAAACATAATAAAGATTGTATATTTTATGGTGGATATGATTATGTGTTCCATAAATCTAGAAAGAAAGCAATTTATTACACCTGTAGACGAAAATGTGGAGGAAGAGCTAAACTCGCTGACACCGAATTTAGCATCACCATAAAACATTCAGCAACTTGCAAACCAATCCAAAGTAATTGATTTTGATTAATATTTAATCTTAAATACACAAATTTTAGGTAAAAATATTATATCACATATTATATAATCAAATCCAATTTAAATAGATTATTCTCAAAGTCTAGCAGGTTATTCTCAAGGTCAATCTATGAACCTCCCTGATCAAGGTAAATAATTTTGATTAATATTTAATCTTAAATACACAAATTTTCGGTAAAAATATTATATCACATATTATATAATCAAATCCAATTTAAATAGATGATTCTCAAAGTCTAGCAGGTTATTCTCAAGGTCAATCTGTTAACCTCCCTGATCAGGGTAAATAATTTTTATTAATATTTAATCTTAATTATTCATATTTTTATTTCCTTATATAGACTCTAATTGCCTAAGAAAAGATATTTATCGATATCAACACAAAGTTATTTATAACTAATATATAATATAAATATATTTTAGCCGACAAAGCTCAATTAATGGATGTCTCTACACAGACAAATATCTCATTTTTTTCATCAAGTATAAAAAATTATATCCTTAATTACTGAATTAATGCTTGTGTATTTATATTATAGTATTAAATGTATGTACTGCAGAATGCCAAAGTAAAATATCAAATTAATATTTACAATAATTTTTCAAAGCTATTTATCTACAAGTTTTGGATAACACAAATAGTCCAGTTTTGGAAAACACAAATAGTCTAAATAAATTTCAATTATATTGGTACTATCTATTTTTTAACAAAGTTTTGAACCAAGAGATCTTGGAGGAAATAGATGCCCATAACAGAAATACCACTAGTCCAGGTAAATTATCCAAATATTTATCGGGTTTGCCAAAAGTGGTATACGTCAATTTCAAAATTTATAGTTATTATATTTTTATTATATGACTTTTTCATTGTTTCGTCACTGTTATTTTATTTATATAGTTAACATGCATTAAACCTCCTTTTCATTTTTAATAGTCATATTTATATATCGCAATACAAATGTTTAATTATAATAATCGCGATCGGAACAATATTATTTTTAATATAGTTTACAAAAGATTAAAATTTTATATATGACATAAATAATAAATGATTCCCTAAAATTATTATTCCTATTTTATGGAGCGTGCCACATAAACAATAGAAATAGTTTTAAAAGTCAGACTTTTGAATAGTTAGAAAGACGACTATTATATGATAGAGTTAAGAAATTCAACTATAAAATAGGATTTATGGTAATTATTATAATTGTAACAATATCGGAAAATAGGTAAGTAAAAACTTATGAACTAATATTATTTCAGGATATATCTTTTTAAATATTAGGTAAAATTTAATTTAATGAGAAAGTAATATAATGCTTATTCAGAGTTGGGCAGTACCGCAAATACTTGTATCTAAGATACAAGATCCTTTTGTATCTTGTATTCAGTATCTTTTTGACATTTTTAATAAGATAGAAGTATCTCTATCTAAGATCTTTTATTCTGAAGTGAATCTTGTATTATTTTCTTGATAAAAGATACAGATACAGATTCTTTTTAAAATTAATGTTTAAAATTTTACATATCACAGTATACATCTAATTTTCTTCGAGAATCTTGTATTAATTTCCTTATTTTTTTCCGCCATAACGATAGATAAAAAAAATAACAACATCGAAACGAAATAAGCAAAGATTATATTTTATATATAAATGTAACTCGATAGTATATTTTCATGGTAGTGAAGAAGAAAGTAGTGAAATTTAAATTAAATAAGTTCTCTTGAATCAAATTCCAATCTTAAAATTTTATATGGAAATTTTTAAAAATAAAAGTTAAAAAAGAAAAGACACAGGCTACATCTAAAACCTGTATCTTCCAAATGATAAAGGGTTAAACACAGATTTTGTTAATAGTATTTAAGTATCTTTATCTTGTATCTTTTTGATATTTTGAAAAAGATACTAGTATCTGTATCTAAAATTCATTTTTCACAAAGAATCTATATCTGCATCTAGATTCTTTTTCCGTAGGACCTGCCAACTCTGTGCTTATTCTATAAATTAAAAAGTCGACCAAGAGGTCAACATTTCCTTTGGTTCACAAAGAATAGATTTTATGGTTAGCTTACTCAATGTTATTAAAGAAATATTAGGGAAATTTCAAATAATCACACTAAAATAAATAAATAAATTCGATAAGATATTATATATTTTATAGTGATGTAAATAAAATATAATATTTAAGGATCTTTGCTTTAGGTATCCAAGCGCATACGCGGGAATTTGGTCTGGGGGGGGGGGGGTAATAAAAATTTTTAAGAAATATTATTGTTAAAAAATTATATGTAAGGAATCACTTAAATGACCCAAAATAGAAATTTGAATTTTTTGAGCTTTAAAATTTATATATAAAGTATAAAAATTTAAATGTTAGAAATATGAATTAATACACAAAAAGCTTAGGGAATAATTGTATCTTGTTTGTTATATATTTACAATGTAAAATCTAATCTTCGTTGTGATTGAGTTACAAATGCCTATGAATATTCAAAAGATCCAAACCTTTCAATCTACTTTAAAAAGTTGTCTTCTTGGTATGTTTTTCAGAGATAGCAGGCCCAGCCCCCGGGTCGGACCGTATGGCCGGGCCCGAAATTTAAAAAAAACACCCGGGCTGAGCCTGAATTTTTTTAAAAAAACATCTAGGCCGGGCCTGAAATTTTTTTAAAAAAAAATATCCGGGCCGGACTGTATTTTTTAAAACAGCCTATATTTGTAATCGTTATTATTAGCTATAAAAATCAAAAATAAATATAATTTATTTTTTTTAAATCCGGGTCGGGCCTGAAAATTTTATTTTAAAAAAGGACGGGCCGGGCCTGAAAATTGAGCTTAGCCGTAAAAATGCCCTACAAATAATACCTCTGCAGGGCTATGTTATTCTTCTTAAAAAAGAGAATGTTCTCTCATTAGTTTACTATTAGGAAGAGTTGCTAATATATATAAACCCTTTTAATACATTGGTAATATAATCTAAAATGTGTTTGAATAATGCAGAGCATCCATAGCATTTTTTGGGACTGTATCAACCAGTAGCGTACGCAGGAATTTAGTGTGGGGGATAATTAAAATTTTTTAAAATAAAATTATTGTTATTTAAAAATATCAAGCATAAATTTATTAGGACTAATAACTATTTCTAATATATTAATTTAAATTAATATGAATTATAAAAAATTAAATATATAAACCGATATATAAAAATAAATTTGATTTAAAAAATATTAAACGGATATAACCGGCGGCATATAAATACTTTAAATAAATCTGAATTATAAAATATTAAGTGAATATAACCAGGATATGATGACTATAAAATAAATAATCCATAATAGAAATTTAAATTTTTTTGAGCTTTTAAAATTTATATATAAAGTATAAAAAATCTAAATGTTGGAAATATGAATAATTATATTTTTTATGTAAAAGAAAAATATATAAGACATTAAAAAATGATAGCACAAAATATATTATAGAAACATTATATTTTTATAATGTAAAATCCAATCTTCGTTGGGAGTGAGCTAATTTTTCAATTATCTCATCCGTGTTTGGCGTCAAATGCCTATGAATATTCAAAAGGGCCAGACCATTCAACCTGCTTTCAGAAGTTGTACTTCTTAGGTACGTTTTTAATCTTCTTAAAGAAGAGAATGTTCTCTCATTAGTTGCAGTACTAATGGGAAGAGTTGCTAATATATATAATAATTTCAATATATTGGGAAAATAATCTAAAAGATGTTTGAAATGATGCAAAGCATCCATAGCATTTTTTGGGACTATATCAACCATAGTTAATGCTTTATACCATAGTTGGCATTCAGCTAATAAAGCATCATGAGATACATTAATGTCTTCATGATAAAAATCTTCCAAATTTTTTTATTTTTTTTCTATCACCATCTGAAAAAGGTTCAGAGGGCTTTTGTGGAAGTAATATCTGCAGATTGATAAGTGCTTCTTGATGAATTAAAAACCTTTCATTTACTTGGGTTATAAATGTATCCAAAAGAGGTATAAAGACATTTATTTTATAATATTCTTCTATTGACCCTATATTAATATTTGGATGATAAGTTTGCCTTACTGCAAGTCGAGGGAGACAAATATTGAACTCGTATAGCTCTGCTTTTGATTCAACATTAACATATAAAATATGAAATTCCTCATCAGCATTAGCTCTAATTTCTTTGAGTTCTAATAAAATTGTCTCTGCTATTCTCATCATCTCAATCAAATCAATATCAGGTTTTTGAAAAGTATTACATAAAATAGTTGTATAATTAAATAATTTATTAATACATTCTAATGCGAAAAAAAAATTTGGTATAAGTATTGAATCCAGTAACTTGCTTGCTTCTGAAGAAATATCTCTTTCAGACCATTGTGATATTTCTGTAAGAGCATAATAATCGGCTCTTCTAACTCGATAAAAGCTGTTACTGCTTGATGTCGAAGACTCCATCTTGTTGGACAAGCTTTTTGCAATTTTTTTCTCCTTGTTGGGCAAGGAGTTTCTGATATAATTTTGTTCAAAATATTTTGACGCTTGGGGTATCTAAACATCTCATAGATGCTAGATATTTTACCTGATATAAATATAAAAAATTTAATTTTAATAATTAAAAACCTAAGCAATTTGATATCAATGGTAAAGAACATGAATCCGATATTGCTAAGTTGAGTGAATGGGCAGCACAGTAGACATATATAGCTGTTGGGAATTTTTTTTTAATAAATGCCTGAAGTCCATTGAATTGTCCACTCATTGCAAGTGCTCCATCATACCCTTGCCCACGTATCATATTTATATTTAGCTATATTTTTGAAAATAATTATATAATAAGATTAATTATTACTTTTAATTTTTTAAGATTCACAAATATTACATCAGCTAAAGCAGACCCAGTCATGCTTGAAACAGGAATAAATTGAAGAAACATTTCTTTGATAATGTTGTTTTTATGAGTATCTACATATCGCGCACACAACGACATCTGCTCAATGCCAACAATGTCCGTGGTCTCATCTGCCAAAATTGAGAAGCATGGGGCAGAATTGATTTCAACAATCAATTTTTCTAAAATGATATTGTTGCAAATATTAATTATCTCATTTTGTATCCTAGGGCTGAGATAAGTAGCATTTTTTTGGTACTAATGAGGCTCTCCATTAATATAGGATCTCCTAATGCTTTAAATTTTAAAAGTCCACGGAAATTACCTTCGTTATCATTATTATTAAAATTTAAGCTTCCTGAATCCTTGTGGCCATGAAGTGCTAGGCCTTGCAAGCCACAATATAAAATAGCCTCAATAGTTAGTTTTATCTTGCCTCTATTTTCTTTTGCAATTTTAACCCTATATTTATCAATTATTGATGAAATTGGAATCATATCCCCCTTTTGAATTGATTCTTTTGAGGAAATCATCAGTTCACAGCTTTTGTTTATTAAATTATTATACTATACTTTTTTTCTTTTTGGCATGATTTTCACCTTCAGCGTTAAAAAGTCTAATATCCATGACTAGAAATTTGAAAATTATAATACCGGGAAATTTATAAATAATAGATAAATATTAGGCCACAAGGAAAACTTGAAAATGAAATTAATTGATAAAGTAAATTAGTAAATGAAAAAGGTAATAATATAAAAATTTAAAAAGAAATATATATGAATAATTATAATAAAATATAAAAAATAATATTTTTGAAAAATATGTCCGGCATCTGCATTTTGGCTTTGGGGGGGGGGAGGGGGAGGGGGGGGGATTTGTCCCCCTGCCCCCCCCCGCTGCGTACGCCAATGGTATCAACCATAGTTAATCTTATAAACATAGTTATTCAGCTAATAAGGCATCATAAGATACTTTATTATCTTCATGAATAAAAATCCAACAAATATTTTTTTTTATCACCATCTGAAAAAGGTTGGGAAGGCTTTTATGGAAATAATATTTGCAGATTGATAAGTGCTGCGTAATGAATTAAAAACCATTCATTTATTTGGTTTATAAATGTATTTGTATCTAAGTTATACTCTTCTGCTGATCCTATATTAATGTTTTAACTATGAGCTTGCCTTGCTGCAAGTCGAGTGAGACAATTATTAAACACGTATATCTCTGCTTTTGACTTAACAATAACATATAAAATATGAAATTCTTCATAAACATTAGCCCTAATTTCCTTGAATTCTAATAAAATGCTCTCGGCTATTCTCATCTTCTTAATCAAGTCATCATGTTTTTGATAAGTAATACATAAAGTTGTACATTCTAATGAGAAAAAAAATTTGGAATAAGCATTGAATCCAATAATTTTCTTGCTTCTAAGGAAAAATTTCTTTCAGGCCATTGTGATATGTCAGTAATAGCAAATAATCGGCTCTTCTAACTCCATAAAAGCTGTTACTGCTTGATGGCCGAGACTCTATCTCGTAGGACAAGGTTGCAATTTTTTTCTCCCTGTTGGACAATTTCAGAATAATTATTATTTAACTAGAAATTTAAAAATGGTAGATAAATATTACGCCACTAAAAATTTGAAAATAATAATATTACGCCGGAAAACTTGAAATCGAAATTAATTGATAAACTTAGTGATGAATGTGATAATAAATGTAATTAAATATATATTTAATATGAGATAGGAATAAATATTAACAAATATAAATTAATATAGTACTGTGTAAATTTAATTCAAAACATTTCCATATTTATTAATTTATTTGAAAATAAAATTATTTGACTTGTAAAAAGTTGTTAAAATAACATATTTATATATTCTTATCAATTTTTACAAGTTAAAATTTTTATTTACAAACGAATTAAAAAATATAGAAATGTTTTAAATTAAATCTGTACAACACTCTAAACAAAAATATTTTTGAAAAATATATCCGGCATCTGCATTTTTTGGCTTTGGGGGGTATTTGTCCCCCTGCCCCCCCCCCGCTGTGTACGCCAATGCATCAATGCCACAAAGCAATAAACCATGCAATAAATCGAGGTTTAACAGCCGCCTACATTCTTAACCATCTTGAACCCGTAAATTTATCTCAAGATGGCTTAAAACCTGATGGTATGACAACCATAACTTGGGCCCTCGGAAAATCTCTAATATGTGATTGCACATGCGTCTCATTATTCCCCTTAAACTTAAATATCAATCATTAATACAGACAGAAACTAAAAAGATTAACAAATACAAAAATTTTAAAAACTTCATATTCACTTCAATAGTGACTTTCACAAATAGCCATTTTCGCCATTAATATATGAGATTTAATCTAGGCAATAAAATACAGCTTTTTACAAACGAAGCTAAAGAATTCTATATATGTGCCAAAAAATTTAATTAGAAATTTTTAGACTATCTTAGTTAGAATGAAATTTGGAATGTATGGTTCCACGGGCAGAATTCCAATAGAATAATTCTTCGTACAAAAATAATAATTTCTTTATTCAATTTAAAATAAATTCAAAACTTTGGTATAAAAATATAATTCTTTTATTTAATTTACAATTAAATCCAAAAACTTTCGTGTACAAATATAATTCTTTTATTTTTATTTTCAATTAAATTCAAAAACTTTTTCAATCAAAATCATCTTATCTTTTTCTTCATTTTTTCTTCAAACATAATAAATAAAAAAACATTATTCATTTTAAAAAATACACAACACTCTTCAACATCAATCACCATACCTCAATCATATACTCATAATTACAACATCTCCCCTCCTTTACATTCCTCTCTCGGCCTCAATTGATCTTGATGCCTACAATATACTATTCCATTGTCATCTTTAACCTAGTATTTGACACTACCAATTATTTCTTCTACCTATCCCATCATCCATCTGAATTTTCCTTGAACATTAAAATATACACTTCTTGTCCCAGGCAAAATTTACTAGATTTCACTCACATCCAACCTTTTCATTTCACAATCACATGCCATCATTTTTAAATTAACCAAAATTTTGGATTAGTTTTATATAGCATTTAGTTCTGGAAACCCTTATATTTTTCTCTAAAAAATTTGACCAAAATGAAATAAACATCCTCGTTGTTTCGTTAACGGAAAGACCAATTTGAATGCAATGATTGCCGATAACTGGAATTCGGTCATTATAAAATTAGGAGAGATTAATACATAGGATTGAATAATTTCAAAAACTCGCTTGTAATCCTCAATCCTTTTATCGGTCATCAATATGTAAATTGGGGGAAACCCGTTTTATTTTTTACCCCGTGAAGGGTGTAAAGTTGATGAAAAAGAGGTGATGTATATTTAAAAGCACCATCGGCGATCCACATCGCTCATGAAGAGAGAAACTCAAGATTTGTTTCAGTCGAGAATATTAAATTCGCTCGTTTTTAATATATAATATAAAATTTTTAGTATTAAAAGTTTAATCAATAAATTTTAAAAATAATTATTTGCAATTTACCAATAAATATAATAGACGAAATTTTGACTTTAAGTTGAAATATAAACTAGCTTTATCGATCAAATTGCTTAATCTTATTTCATCATCATGAATAATAAAATTCTCGTCCATCTGGGTAATAGTATATTCGTAGGGTAGAAATAATGCGAGCAAAAAAGTTGGGCACGGTGGCATATGATTGTGAGAGTTTCTTGTACGGTGTATTATCCACTTAATAAGGTTAAAGTTAGGAATCTTTATTACCATCTAGATTTGCCGATATTTACTGGGAGTATCGATAGATGTTTCGCTTTATGCTTAATTTCATTAACAATTTTTCGTGACTCCTTTTGAGCACAATAGGATTGTGCTCCAATTTATTTGGAATTTTTTCATTATTTCGGCATGTGAGCCTGGCCATACACATGTGTGCACCTCTCTCTACACACCTATAGTAGTAGGTAGGAGGTACTTTTTTGTCAAGTCTGTTTAAAAAGTTATCATAGATCTCTAGATCTAAATCTTTATAACTTTCAATCATAATTATTTAAATAAAGATATATTTATTTGTAATTTGTTTCTATAAAAATAAAAATAGTTTTAATAATATGTAAAATAAAATCACAAAAATTTTTCGAATTTTTTCTATTTATAATAAAACAAGCCAGGTGTCGTCATATAAATTCTCGGAACACCCTTGAATAAAAAAAAGGGAAATTCAACGAAATATTAAAATTCTTTCTGAGCGATAAAATAATAAAACTTTAATTTTCCTAGAAATTAGCTCTATTTTGTAAATTGTTAATGAAAATCAATTGAATATATGAGTAGCAAATGAAACAATCCTGTTTAATTGATATAATTTATATTTTTGTAAAGGTTCTGCCTGGAGTAACCCAATTTTTATTATTTTAGACCCAGCTAGAATTTTATAAATTATACCATGTTACCGACCGCTCTGTATCGGGATCTGGGCCAGGAGTTCTAATATCTACAGTTTTTATTCAAATTATAATAATACCTTTTTATTTCAATAATTATTCACAAAATAAGTAATCATATCGTATGGATTTTAGAATTCTTGATTAATGAACGCCGAACCGGCCAGAGCTGATAAAATTTTAAAAATGAAAAAAGGTTTATTCTTGTCCCAAAATATAAATCCTGATTTGTATTTGTTTTATGATAGATAAATTTTTAGCTAATCTTAAACAACTTTTATATTATATCTCAAAGGTTTCGCGAATTTAAGGTGATTTATAGCAGGAACCAGGAGAAATACTTCAATAATTATTAAAAACAAAATTTTTATGAACCTCGTCATCAAATTCTAATTTTCTTGGCCGAGGCATGAGTTTTCCGTTGAACAATTAGAAGTAGTAATGTTAAAATTATGAAAATATTTCTTTCTTTATCAGTTTGTATTAGTACTTTGCTTTAACTATTAGAGTAGCCCGTTTAAAAAAAACTATTAGCAATAAAGCCAGCCTTACGCCAATTTTTTTAGAAAATATTTATCAATATTTAGTGCTTTGTGAGTTATTTTAATCTGCACTGCCCTGCCCGAATTTTTTTTATATTATATATTTTTAATTAGCATAGATATATTGGTGATATAAAATATTTGAATATATGACCCGACCCGCTGCCCCGACCCGTGTATTTGAAAAAATAAAATTTTAGGCTCGGCCCGGGTGTATTTAAAAAACTTGGTGAGTGTACCCGGGCTGGGTTTACAGCCGGTGCCTGTAGGCCTCTGTTCTGATTTATATTGCGTGTTTTTAATTTCCCGATAAATCTGATTTTACCAAATCTTCCAAAGAGAATACCCTGGGATTTCATACGATTTCGCCAAAATATTTTTGTATTTAATAAATTATAATGAAAATCTATATAAAAGTTAATAAGGTAAGGCCATAGTTTGATGGGTATTTTGTTCTATTTTTTGCATTTTAAATCATTAATTGAGCACGTTTTATTAAATTTTAAATCTGATTTTGCCGGAAATTATTCAGATAAATTTCAGAAGATTTTATATTGAACTTCTGAAGAAATTTTAATTTACATTAATAATATTTTGAAAAATTT